TTTATCTTGTTTGTGGTTTACTTGTGTGTGGTTTACCTGTGGTAGTTATCTTGTTTGTGGTTTACCTGTGTGTGGTTTACCTGTGGTAGTTATCTTGTTTGTGGTTTACCTGTGGTAGTTTACTCTTGTGTGGTTTACCTGTGGTATTTATCTTGCTTGTGGCTTACTTGTGTGTGGTTTACCTGTGGTAGTTATCTTGTTTGTGGTTTACCTGTGGTAGTTATCTTGTGTGTGGTTTACCTGTGTGTGGTTTACCTGTGGTAGTTATCTTGTTTGTGGTTTACCTGTGGTAGTTATCTTGTTTGTGGTTTACCTGTGGTAGTTATCTTGTTTGTGGTTTACCTGTGGTAGTTATCTTGTGTGTGGTTTACCTGTGTGTGGTTTACCTGTGGTAGTTATCTTGTTTGTGGTTTACCTGTGGTAGTTATCTTGTGTGTGGTTTACCTGTGGTAGTTATCTTGTTTGTGGTTTACCTGTGTGTGGTTTACCTGTGGTAGTTATCTTGTTTGTGGTTTACCTGTATGCGGCTTACCTATCTGTTATACCTAGGTCTCTGGCCACCTCATTCTGTGACCCTCCATCGTACCTGTTTGGAGTGTATTGATTGATACAGTTTGTTCTGTGAGATAATTAATATGTCAGCACCTGCAGTGTAACCAGTAACCATTGATACATGTAGACATTGCATGTCCTCAGGTTCATTCAAACTGTCATGTCAAAGTCAGACTGATCATAGTAAACTATCACAGATAATCAGAGAGGACAGACTTCAAACAGAACAGTGTTTTATAGTATGACATAAACTCAATGGAGGAGAATCAGATTCTGGACTCTACATAACGTATGATTACTTGGTGATGGTGTGGTGAGGGGGTGATAGAGATGGAGAGGATGGGGGGGGCACCCAATACAAAGCTGTCATTCTATTTTCACTTTTAAGGAGTTGGGGGAATTGACAGACTGGCTATCAATTGTAAGTTATTGAAAAAAAAGTATATAAATGTATTATGTCAACTGATTAGTGAAAAGCAATTTGGAAATTATTTACTTACTTAATTCATCCCCAAAATACCTTTTTCACCATGTAAAGTTGTTTTATTATATTTTTTTTTTGGGGGGGGGGATACGATCCTATTTCACAGGTGTATTCCTTGTGAAAAGACCTTTCTTTTGATACCAATAAATTTGACCTCATGACCTTGACCTTTGAGTTTGACTCACTATTACCAGGGCTTTCATCTTCACAGGTGACTGGTGTATTCATTGTGACAAGACCTTTCATGAGGTATAAAAATATTTGACCTTTTGACCTTGACCTTAGAGTTTTGCCCAGTTTTAAAAAACTTTAGTCATGACTATAACTTTTGAGCTATTCATACATGTAGTACTGGGGCTTTCATATTTCACAGGTGTTACATGTAATTCCTTGTATAAGACCTTCCTTTATGGCTACAAACAATTTTTGACCTTTTGACATTGATCTTGGTGTTATACTTGTATTTGAGAAATTTCAACCCTAGCCATTATAAGCTGCCTTACGGGGCATAAGTATTTCATAAATGCATCCTTTTTTTAAAGAAAAAAGATCATTTATTGTAAAGCATCATCATATTAAAGATCTATCACAAATGCTTGATTAATATTGACATAATGATACATCACCAACCATGGAATGAAACAGTATATATATTGTTGCTTTACTTTTATATATGATCTGTTTCAATGTCATGGACAGATATTTTTCTGTGGGTAAAACAATTTTTTAAATATCTTCAAATGTGCAATATTTGCTGGCACCTGGTTTTCACTCCATTAATTTAGAGTTTGTTTACCATGCAGCCTTCCTTGAAGCCCTTCTTCCTTATTGAATCTGTATAGTATATATTTCATTCCTCCATGATGGCACTGTGACCCGCATCCTGTCAATTGTAAAGTAATGATAGAAATTGTGATTGTAATCAGAGATGTAGGTCTTTGTCAAAATTGCACAAAACACCCCAATCCTCAATTTAAAAAGCTGCTCTTTGATGAAAAGACCAGACCCTCTCTCAAACATCTCCTACGTGTTTCTCCGTGGCTCAGTCACAGTTTACTAAGAGACTATATCATGAGGCCTGGTTCATCACATCTGAAATTTACAAAATATTTAGTCCAGGAATTTAGGTAAGAACAGGACTAGACATGATAAAAAGTCAATTTTGGTTCCAACAAATCAACATTTTGGAAAGTGATTCAGGTATTTGTTAAATTGTTTTTTTTTTTAAATTTTATGGAAGAATTTATAATTTATATAGAAGAAATATTTTCAATACCTTTGTCTCTTTTTGTGCACTTATATGTCAAAATGATGCTATTTTAGCAAATCCATCAAAGTTTATAATACCGTATAATCCCTATTTACCACCCCTACCCCTATAAGCACCCCCTGAGGTTTTTTTCAATTGTCATGAAATAAGGGGCCCCTGTAAGTGATTAAAATCAACTAGAGTCGTATCAAATAAATAAAGAAAGTGAAAATGAAATTTGTCTATCATCCAATATCTCAGCGGAAAATGAACAATTTAGCGTATTTTGGGTGGATTATCTTCACTTTAAGTAAAGTTAGACATTATCTTGGTTCTTTCTTGTATTTATTTTTATTTTCAAACAATTTTTTGAAGTTTAAATATGACATTAAATATAATTAATAGAACACCAAAATAACCGCCCCATTTTTGCAATTTTCTAAGCGCCCGGGGCGGTTAATAGGGATTATATGGTAATTAATATACACATTTATAAAAATAACAAAATACTGTAATATAGACACTGGGATTATACCGAATGTATATCTGTTGTGCATAAGGTGACTTAAATTCACATTATGTAACTTGGCATGAATTTTTCTGTGATTTACTGCAGATTTGTTTACACAGAGCATATATTGGATTGACACTAAGGGCGTTTTGGTTTGTTAAAGAAAGACCAGGTTAAAGTTTTTGGAACAGCTACTGGTCTCGTGATCGCACATTTCTATTTAACTATAAGCATAACTAAATTTACTACAAGTCCTATGTAGATGACTGATATTAGTGATCTAAGGTGTGCGCTACCAGTCAGGTTTGCTCTGAACATTGGATCTGACCTACATTTTCCGCATGAGTGACTGGGTTAAAATATTTAGAGGAGGGACATTCTAGAGTATATATGAGCCTTATTTTGATCAAACTTGCATGGATGATTTATTTAACGTCATTAACACTTAACCAGGCTTCCTACAGATCCTGGATTTGACCTATACTTTTCTAGATGAGTGACCAGGCTGTATGGTTTATTCTGAAGTAAGTACTCCCCTTACCTGAACCAAACTTGCATGGATGATGTATCATTAGGGATGCAAACTACCCCAGTTGCTTCAGATGCTGGATTTGACCTTGAGTGACAAGGTGAAAGTTTTTGTAGCAGATTCATTTCATTGCATTTGCAAGCCATTCTTAGTCCAAACTTACTTGGATGATGTATTCAGATGAACACTGTCAAACTTGTTTTAGATGCTGGATTTGACTGGATGAGTGATTTAAGTTTTAATTAAGAGAAGTCCATTCCCAAGTAACTATGACCAAATTTCGGAAATGTGTCTTAAATGGATCCTTCAGTAGTTTGTTATTTAGAGTGGGACTTAATCTTACTTAAAAATAACACTCGTTGAGGAAAAATTTGTCTGATTTGAGGTAATCTCTGACTACCTTTATTGTTTTAATACTCATAGACATTTGGTATTAAATATTAAGATAAAATATTTTATTCAAAGCACTAGAGAGGGAGAGAGAGATAGAGAAAGAGAGAGGTTGCTAATCATGCTAATGGAAACAAATTTAAAGTAGTTATAAATTGTTTCTATGAAAATGTCATTGTGTGTGATAATTAATAATTTATGTTTCTATATAAACGTGTGCCAATGTTTATGATAATTAATAATTAAACATCAACTATATTTTATTGCTAATTATGTTTAAAAACTAACATACGCAATACCCTAAATATTTCTATAATTAATTTATTTGAGGTCATAAATTAGAAAGAAAAGTATTAATAAACATGATAAATATTTAAATTAAATTTAATACACATGTTTCATTTATTAACACTTTTAGAGATATTATTATATATACAACATGGCCACGTGCTGAACTAAACCTGCTGAAATAATTTATAAATATTCACTTGTACGTGTAGACTGTTTATAAATCTTGTACTTAAAAGGGCATGGATACAGTCATGAATTCCCGTTTTATTTTTATACAAAATAATTAATATGTAATATAACATTGATTGTTTTTTTTAATCATGTTTATGAGAGTGGAATTCAGTGTTACGGGTCTAACACCAGAGATGTCTGTACTAGTAAACATGGCCACAGAACCAAGCAGTTTCAGCTGCTACTTAATGACAAAGTTTTCTTACCCTGAACCACTAATAATTCCCTCAAAAGTGAAAATAAAATGACAGATTTGTGATGGGTGTCAAAATAAATAAAAAATTAATAATTATGAGATAAAAAGAAGTTTTTATAAATTTACTGTTGCGTTGGTCTGGACATGAAATTTGATAAAAATTTCTGTTGTAATAATCTTCCAGACTGCGTCTGTGACTCTGTAAATATTGTTCAGAAGTGACTGTTTGATGCAGCCCTTTACTTTTATACACAGAAGGACAGGTGTCTGTGAAGGTGGATTTTGAGCCCTTGTCTTAATTTGCATATATCGTATTGAATGTCTGTTGTCATCGCATTAATGTACGTATATAGTAATTAATCATTGTTTGTTAATGAAAAATGTGTTAAAGAAGCGGAGTAGGATTTGAAGGTGGATGTTTTTTCCTCTCGATTATGATGTCATTTTTAGTCCTCAGATTTTCAAAGAGGCGGTGAGAAATATAGGTCATTTAAGTATACATCTTACCACAAATCAGGGGGAAAAAAGGATGTAATTGTCGCGTTAGAAAGTTACGACATATTGTGGATATAAAATTAGGTCATAAAAATGTGGTTAAAACCTGGGAAATTAAAACGTTGATTGGCATAGGGCATTAATTCTGTGTGTTCATATTGTCTTGGAGTGGCACCTGTTGAAATACGACACTGGATTTCTTTGAACATCATTTTTTGTTCTGTTATTTGGATACTTTCAGGATAAGAGTAAGTATAACAGATAACAATTTATATGAATGAAAAAGAAATGGAGGTGCCAAAATCCTGACTCTAGATTTAAATGTTTTAGTGAACCTAGACAATTTCTAAGTCTTTTGATCTTTTAAAGACAGATATTCACCTTGGACTACTGCAAAAGAAAATCAATTTGATTGAGGTTATTCGTTTTTAAGGGGAACTGATTTTTTTTTTAACCTTTTGTCTGGGGCCCTGTTATGTGCTATTTATCTTAAAACGTCCTTTGTCAATGTTGGTCACCCAACAAAAGCTGATTGAATTCTTTTTTTAGGATTTACAAAAGATTTCAGTGGTTTGTGTGCTAGAAATCAGAATACAAGATATTTGAAAATCTTGCGATTATAAAGGTGCTGTGTGGGAATCTTAAGTTTTTTTCTGTTCTATATAAAATACTGGACAGTTTAATTTAGTTGTGACATTGTACACAGTTGATTTTGAGGAAGTTTTGTAGATATTGCCCAGGAAATAAACTCAAAATTATTGTATTTTTTTAATCAAAGGATCCCTGTAAACATGGTAAACCTGGAAAGTAAGAGATTACAACTAGAAAATATTTTATTCATTCTTATTGACCTTATTTATGCAAGTAAGTATAATATATCTAGAAAAGCAAGTTTTAGCTAAGGTTAGGAGATGTATAATTACCAATTAATAAATGCTCAGAGTTATAATGTCTTTTAACTGAATGATCAACTCTCAATGAATCAATTTGATAAACTTGTTTCAAATTAAAAGATACTGTCATAAAACCTAACCTAAAGTTTATTTTGTTTAAATGTGTGTAATATAAATATATTATCTTATTTAAAGTTATAGACTCTTTAGTTAGAAACTGGGACAGTTCACAGAGTTAATTATGAATGAAGCAGTGTTATTTCCTGTTCTAAGGTTCAGCGTTGATACAGCGTAGCCCCTGTCATTTTTAGGGTCTTTGGTCACTATCATCCCTCCCCCTGCTGAGAACTAAAGTGCAAAAGGTGTGTTTTTTATCCAGGTAAATTTTAATCTGGAATTGCGGACAGGTGTATTTCATTTATTTAACTGTCATTTCTCAGTCCACCCTGTATAAGCATTGAGAGAGAAAGCTACAAAGATAAATGATTTATATAAATGTAGCTTGACTCATAGATATAAAACTTAATGCAGTTATGTCACAGTGGTGATCATTTATCACATACACCAAGGTGTGCTCAATGTTTTCTTTACCTGAATATCAGAACGGAAATAAACTTTTTAAATTTGTTCAATAAATAAATAAGGTACACTTTAGGTGTCTGAGTGGGTCACATGCTATTTTATCTGGGTTTTTTTTTTGGCATGTCATTAAATGACACACCTTATGAAATTTTATAACTTTTTAAATAAACTCTGATTTGGAATCCTGGAAAGTATTGTGATTTGACGAGTAGTTGTATTATTGAGAGATAAGATGTAAACTAAACTACACTGAGTCAGACATTTAAAACTAAAAAGGTCACAGAGTAAAAAAGGATTTACAAGTCTGGCCTTTTTTGGATAAAAGGATATCTCTTATAAAAATACAATCCTTGATTAAATGGTGATTTGTTCTTGGAATGGGTGAGTTGTTGGGATTTTGGGGCTGTGTTTAGTCATTGAAATGATGAAACTTGAAATTTTCTTGGGGAAAAATGCAGGCATTTCTCTAAAATATATCTACAAGTGAGTGTTTTTTTTTTTTCATTTTATTATGAGTTTGACTCTTAGGTCCTTAAAAAAGTCACATGAGCTAGAAGAGGGCATGATTTACAGCACTGAACCTGTCAGACTGAGGTGATAAATTATATTGTGCCTGTAAATTTTAGTAACTATCTGAAGATGAAGATATCTAAAATTTAAAAGGTCAGTTTTTTGGATTGGGTGTAGAGAGGGGTGGGGGTTAGGGGCTGTGATAGGGTGGGGTTGTCTTGGTGCTGGGCTAGGGGGGAGGGGGTTTAGGAGCTGTGATGGGGGGGGGGTGTCTTGGTGCTGGGCTAGGGGTTGGGGTTAGGAGCTGTGATGGCAGCCGGGTTGTCTTGGTGCTGGGATAGGGGTGGGGCCATGGGGGTTAGGAGCTATGATGGAAGGGGGTTGTCTTGGTGCTGGGCTAGGGGTGGGGGTTAGGAACCAGGGAGGAAGAGATGATATTAAATACAGTAAAAATTTATGACCAATCTTTAATATATTAGTGCACTGACAATTGTCTATGTCTGATGGAAATGAAAGTGTTAAAGTGCAAGCACAAGGTTATCATGGTTATATTTTAACACAAAAGTGGTTTAGAAAGTATACTTCATTGTGAATGGGGTGAAACATTACTGAACTTAAATTGTGTAAAAGGTGTTACACATAATGATTATTTCAATTGACCTTACACACACGCTGTGGTCTGTCTACTTGTGTAGTTGTCAGGTCTATTTATCTGCTGTTGAATGGTTGACAGAATCAAAACAAGAGTCAGAGAGAAAGAGATGGAGAGAAAGAGAGGGGGGATGCTTTACAAATTAAGTGTTAACTAATTTAAAACAGTGAAAAACTTACTTGAGATTGATTTTTCATACACTCTAGGATGTGTTTTTCAATGTGTCTTGGTTTTGCTATGGTAAAGGAAACAGACAGGGTCCTTCATTGCTATTGTCTTATTGAGTTTGTCATACGTTCTTTTTATTGTTCTATTGTAAAAAAAAAAAACCTGAATTGTTCATAAGTAAAGAATGGTTGAAGATGGGATAAATAAATGAAAGAAGCTTGAACATGTTTTAAATGCCAGGATTGCAGTGTCCCATTATAACTCAGTATTTTGGACATGTTGTACATGTTGTATAGGTTGTTGTGTAGCAATATTTTGGGTAAAAGAGCAGAATTATTCTGTAGTTCAGTAGTTCCGCAGTGTTATATATATTTGACCTTGGGAGGGGTCACATACTTCAGTGCTCCTGCATTCTCCACACAGCTGTTTCCCATTCAGCCTTAATACTGACCTGTCATCAGCTAACAGGGGGGTGGATCCAGGAAATACTCCAGGGGTGTTCAATAGGGAGTAAAGCTGGCAGACCAGTGAAGGATGACATTTCTATGCTCAGACAAACTTTTTGAGGGATGGAATATGTGTCTGAGTTTTAGTGGTAATCATGGTAATTAATGAAAGAATTTACCTTGGATTTATCACTTAGGCCATAATAAAAATATTCCTAGATTCTCATCCCCGCCCGCCCCGATTTTATACCCCCGCCTGGATTTTTTTTATTTCTGTTATTCTTCAGCTTAATTCTGTTAAATTTTCGTTTTGGTATTCATCTACCATTCTACTTTCGTTTTAAATCCTGCGAATGTCGGCATGATTTTGACAGCTGAATAGATGTTAATTGCTGTAATACACGCGTATATATTTTAAACAAGGGTCATTGGTTGAAAAGATTGGTGATGATGTGAAGTAAGAGATTACTATGACTTTTTTTCGGGTATTACAGATAAAATTACACCGATTGACCAGGTCAAGTTTAAAAAATCTGCAAAATTGAAAAAATATAAAATATAAAATTTAAAGCCGCCCGCCCGCCTGCTGATTTTTAAAAAAATTCAGACCAGTGAGGGATGGAATAATCTAGCAATTTATTTTTTATGGCCTTATTGAAATTCAAGGATTATGATCATGTCAGGCAATTTTTTCCTACAAAAAAGTCAGTAGTAATTATGTATACATTAAGTCACTCCAAAATAATAGCTGTCTGCAGTTTTGCTCACCTTGGGACAATTTTAGACTCAAGAAAGCTTTTCTGAATTAATTCATCAAATTGTCTGAAATTGTTTTTATGTTTTTGCAATTCAATTCTTCTCTTCAAAATCACTATGCTAATATATAAAAAAAACTTGGCATAGAAGTATTAAGGTATGTTCAAATGAAGGATCATATGCCCTTTACAAAGAGGAGATAACTTAGATGGCAAAAGTGGGGTCAATTAAAATTTATTCAAAAAAAGATAATATGGGAACTTTTTAACAGTGTGTCATTTTAGGGTCTTTGATTATGTTCTTTTGTCTAGCTGACTCTTTAAGTTCTCCAACAATATGTTGGAATTCCAATAGGCACCAATGGTGGTCCTTTATTAGCCAATCTGTTGGAATTCCAATAGGCACCAATGGTGGTCCTTTATTAACCAATCTAGACACCAATGGTAATTATTAGCCAATCTAGACACCAATGGTAGTCCTTTATTAGACAATCTAGACACCAATGGTAGTCCTTTATTAAATAGCTCTTTAGAGCTATTAGACACCAATGGTAGTCCTTTATTAGCCAATTAGACACCAATGGTGGTCCTTTATTAGCCAACTTTAAATAAATATTTATCTTATCTAATCTGTTTTTGTATTCCAAACAGCAAATTTCATTAAAAGAACTTCTACATGATAGTTTTTACATTGTCAATTTTCTTTATCTATAAAGTAAAACTAGTAATATTCCACTCTCACCTTTACATTGTGTTTGTATCTCTCAGCTTATTCCATACTCATAGGAGCATTCTCTGAGTTCAATAAATTTTTAAACCAAGGCAGGTTACTGAAAAAAAAGTTGATGTAATAGGGATCATTTTTGCAATAAATCTACAGGGGTGTGCAATTAGAAAAATCAATTACTAGCCCACAGGCTAGTGGCAGCTATAAAGTTACTAGCCCTAAGTGAAAAGTTACTATAAGCCCAAATATAGGGGCAAAAATTAAAATAAAAAACTATAGTTGAAAAGAAATTAATTGTTGAAAAAGTCAGGGTACTGAGGTCATTCTTTTTAAAATTAAAGTTTAATTCTCACTATGAAATTAAATCATGTATAAATTATAATGAAAGAAGATTAAAATTAACTTAAATAATTATCTTCCCTTTCACTGAACATTGCACACTAGTTAATTCATTTAGACTGAAATTTAATTCATTTTGTTTTTATCTTTTAAAAATCATTAAATACACTATAAATATATTTTATGTGAGTCATAAAACATTTATCTTTCAGTTGATTGAGTGATTGTAAATAATTTAATGAGATATCTGCATGTATTTACTATATACAAAAGGATAGAGGAAATTCGGATTAGGAAAAAACGATCGTTTTTGGAAGTAAATAAGTCAGGTAGTGCTGCAAAACAGATAAGACTGTGGAGATTATTGAGAGTAGGAGCATGTTGTCAGAAAAAAATCCCTGGTTGGGAATTTGATAGCAAAAACGAGTAAAAATACAGGTTGTGCTTTTCATGTAGTGCGTGTGTAGTTATAATCTTTACTAGCCCGACAGGCTACCTCCATGCAGAAAATCGCTAGCCCGACCCCAAAAAGTGGTAGTCCCGGGCGTCGGGCGATGCTAATTGCACATCCCTGAATCTATGGTTTTTTTTAAGTGTCCTAATGTTTGTAAATACAGTGTTTGGATGTGACTGCAGATATCAAGGTTTCTATTAATCAGCCTTTAATAAGCCAAAAAATAAATTTATTCCTAATTTGACAACAGAGCTGCTTTGTATTCACCAGATTGACTTAGCTCTGGAATATTGTTGTCGGTAAGGACGTGAGTTGAGAGGGGTCATGTTTGATCATGGTGTAATTATCCTCATCTTATACATCATGTAAAATAGGAAAATCCAAATATTTGTTTTGTAAGACATTCAAGGTGAATTATATTAACAACATTTAAAATGTTTATAAATTAAAGACTTTAATTGCCTCTTTATTTGTTGAGATTTAGAAATTAATAATATATGGAAAATTTAGGTTTTTGATCTGGAAGTCAATACAGTGGAGCCTCATTTATCCGGACGCTTTGGTTCCCAGTCAATTTGTCCAGATATGTGAAAATGTCCGGATACCTGAATTACCAGTTTAACAAGACAAAATAACGTTAAAAAATTCCATTCCCATGAAAAATCGTCCGGATACAGAAGCATCCGGATATATGGCATCCAGATATCTGAAGGTCCACTGTAGATAGATATGAATATACTTTAAAAAAGCATACTCAGACATTGAGGTCATGATGCAAAGTTGATGTGCTTTTCTTTGAAGTCAATATTTTTATGGATCAACCCCTTTTCCGATTGGCTTGTTGTGAACAGCCAATTGTCAGTTAAGTTGGTCTGTAAATTAGAGTAGATGCTGTTCTTGTATGCAGTGCATCTTGGGAGGTCAGTATTGAGGTCTGATAATTAGAATTTAATGGAAGTTGTCAGATGTGTAACTGCGAGAGAGTCACGTAGTCAAGCTAATTTCATTGATCTATTAAAGCCATATAACATTTCCTTTTAAATGTCATGTGTATTATTTATATATACTTTATTTAAATGAAAACAAATGCAATTTCATTAAATAATAACATTTGTTAAATATTTTTTAACATGATTTAAGAAGTAACAATATTGGTTGATGAAATACTCATGTAGGAATTACGTGACATTACTCATTAAATTGTAGCAAGTTTTTCAAAAAAATTCAGTTTGTGACCTAAATGATTCATAGTTCTCAGCTTTGATTACAAGTTATAGTAATTGATAAATGAGACAATAAAAAGAAGAATGGCCACGTTCTATATGAGATGTTCTAAGACATTTAATCATGGGGGTGCAAATGTGAAATTTTTATAAGACTGTTTCCAAGTTTTTAAGGAGCATTTAGTCACATCTGAGATAAAATCAAATGAAAATTGTTGCACAAAAAAATTCAATTTCATGTTTAATTTTGAGATTTTTTTAATTAAATGATATTTCAAAGAGTTATCCTTCCTAGCTGAGGATCGGATATCCTTAAATATATTAACTTAGATTTTTCAAATGCCTGTTATTTTATTCACTACAGCCTAGATATAAGACTCATCAGTATTCAAACCCGAGTCCTCTCTTATAATCTCCCGCTTTAAGTGCTGAACTGAGCTTATAAATCTGGCCATCAGCAATCATTTAATCCATCAGAAAATCAAGTTTATATCATTTTGATATAATATCATGTATTGCTTGCATTGCAAATAATGATGTATATACAGTGATATATGTAAATATAATGTAAATCCATACCTTACACTTTAAATGCATGTCTACGAGAAAACCATACAGAATGCTATGAAAGCAAGTTTTTCAAAATTTCTTGAAACTTTGCATACTAAGTGTGATCAAGGCCACTTTAATTTACTTATTGCATAAGTTTGGTGACATCATTTGATTGGTTACCATGGATACAGGGATATTTATTTTATCGTCGGGAAATCTTTATACCCACCATGGAAAAGTAACACCTTTTGTACCTATTTCGTTTTTGTATGAAAAATCTTCATTAAATCATCAAAATTAATGGATTTAAGGAATTAAAAAACCTTGAAAAGAAATATTTTCCGCATTTATTCCACATACCTGTTTGAAGATAAAGAGCTACGCGTGCAAAAAGGTCACAATAATTGTGAGGAATGAAGGTTTTTGAATGGTCTGCAAAAAAACAGCTATAAAATTCTGAGAAACGCTTTAATTGATTTCATTTTTTCAAAAGGTGATTGGTTTTAGATTTTTTATTAAGTATTAAAGGGATTTTGGTTGCAAATTTATATCAATGGAGTTGTCACTCTTGCAAGAGCAGAACTGCGAGTGCCAAAACCAGGTCACAATAATTCTAAGGGATATTCTGTAGAAAAACAGTTAAATAATTTCTAGAAACACTTCAGTGATTATTATATTTCTATCAAGTCACAGGCACTTGAGACTTCACTGATACATTTAACTTATTGACTAATATATTTTTTTTTATATGCAAAAGCTGCTTGACCTATAAGTGACTTATAAGCAAGTTTAGCCACTTATGCTTTTGGTATAGTCACTTATAAGTGACTATACACTACTTGGTATCAATAATGTATAACTTGTTTGTCTTAATAAGCCATTTTTAAATACATCATTTTTGACATGCATAAAAAGAGAGCTCTCTTTTTAATTGTATCACTCAAAAACAATAATATTTGGAAAAAAATCACTTTCATATGACATTTCTATGATGTCAAAACAGTTACATTACAAACAAAAATGTTGTATAAGATTTAAAAGGTGTGTGAAGCAGCTGAGTCAATTGATTCAAAATTTCAGGCAAAAGTTAAAATAGAGAGATTATGTAAATAGAACCTACTTGTTGTACCTGATGGGAAGGTGCCTGTGCCTAAAAGTCACCTTCGACACAAAGGTAAATTGTTTTATTTTTAGCTCACCTTGACGAAGTTGAGATGAGCTTGAGAGAATGCTATACCCCTCCACACTTATTCTTCGCTCATACCATACTGATCTTCACTTATCCCAGGTACAAGTGAAATTTTAGGAGCATGTCCATTCCCACATAACTATAAGCCCTACTTACTTTGACTTATAGTACAAAATTGCAAAATTTATGGATGATGCATCTAAGTGGATTATAAAACACTTATAAGTTTCTTAGCTCTGTAAGGGTTCTGATGCTGTAATCTGACCTACATTTTCTAGATGAGTGACCAGGTTAAAGTTTTTGGAGCAGGTCCATTCCCAAGTAACTTTAAACCCTACCTGAACCAAACTTGCATGGATGATACATCTAGGAATGGACACTACCAGACTTGCTTCAGATGCTGGATCTGACCTAGTTTCTGGAACAGGTCAATCGCCAATGAACTTTAAGACCTATTTTAACAGAACTTGCTTGAATATTGTTGTCAGAATAAATACTAACTGTTGAAAAATATGATGTGAGATTTGCATTACTTAAACTGATAACATTTGACGAGGTGAGCTTCATAATCTTTGATTACCTATGTTTTTTGATAAGATAGAAATTAAGTGATAGGAAAATATTTAATTCTCCAATGTCCTTGTCCAAGATAAAATTACAAGAAGTACAAAAAGTAAAACTGTATTTTATTTCTACTTAACTGTACTCGTTCATCGATTAGGCCTTGTTTAAAAAATCACGTATTTGGCGGAACAAATATGAGACGAAAGCAGGGCTTGTTAAGCTTGTGTATTTGCGGAATCAAGAGCATGTAAATATAAGGAATAACTGTCAGATTTTTTGATTTCATGACGATGATCAATGGATTGGCTTCGACATTCCTTCTTTAAGGTGTAAAAAGGTGCAACCGTATCACATATGATTACAAAAGTTGAAGTCAGTTAAATAGGGCAAATGGATGTGTAAGGTCAAGGTCAATTCTCAACACTCCCAAAATGATGTGAAAAACACCTTGGCAAGATTCACTTACTAATATAAAGTAAAATTAACGAAAATGATATATTACCAAGGTCAACAAACTGAGGTCAAATAGTTGTTAAAACAACCTAACAACAGATATATTACAGTAACTGATTATTTTAGGGTTGTCAGAAAAAAATAACAGCACAAAAAAAACTAGTTATTAGGTTATAATGTAAGGTTGTGGCCATTATTGGAATTTAAGTGCGATTGTTATTGTTTTTAAGTCGGTATTGTAATTATGACTTGGTTGTGTTACTGACAGACACTATGAATGACTCATTGAGCCAGAGTGATAATGAAGACTAGATTGTTTACAAACAGACTATATAAAGACCATCCTCTCACAATGTCAAATAGTTCTTATGCCATGAAGGGCTGCTACACCATTCTCATTTAGAATAGTATTAGATTTTTATGTAAAACTGTACGGGTATATTGTAAGACATTGTGTCTCTACACAGTTATTCTTATCAATAGATGCCTTTAAAATAAAAGGGGAGGGGGTATGTTTCTGTGTGCTTTATAGTCTTTCTACTGTAGAATTCCTGGATGTTTTGTATCGGTGATGTATTATTTTGTTAAGTTGTGAATTAATGAATCATGACTTGGTTTCTACTTTTACTTTGTAGGAGGCCGTTGATTCTAGTTAGCGGACACGATGGTTAGAGGAGAGTCGAAGTGAGGCCGTCACGATGGAGTTTGGGATGGCAGCCATTGAGAGGACATACTGACATGGCCATGTTACGCAGCGTTTTTGGTGGCTGTGTTTCTGACAGAAGTGCTGAGACCATGCGTCTTAAAAAGTAAGTCATCGATTGAATTATTAGTTAAATCAGTTGAATTATTGAAAATTTTAACTGGATGCTTTTTTCACTTGTCTTGTTTGCACAGAGAGTTAATTTCTAATTATACTTAAGTTTTAGTAATTAAAATTAAATTTGTACTACATTCACACTGAGAATTTAATGTGAGTCAGTTTGATTCAGATTTATTTACTGCACATTAACTCCATGTGAGAATACACTAAACATTTTCTAATGTGCTAATGGTAAATTGAATTGAATTTTGACATGCGTTATAGCACAATTGAGCCACCTGCTATATGCGGGTGGTCAGATATAAGTTATTGTCCTTTTTTAAAATTGAAAAACAAAGAAAAATCAAGTTTATCACAGCAACCTAAAAAATGTTTGCAAAAATTCCTGTAATAAAAATGTTTCAAATTCCAATCAGTTGACTTTGCTTTTACACAGTGTAATTTGCATTTCGTTAAATTACATTATTTTCACTTTGCATTAATTCACTTGGAATTAGATACATGCACATTTGTGTGAACAAGGTATTAAAAAATAAGTGAGTTTCAATTTTCAGAATTTTTATTTCCCTCAAAAATTAGATGTATTTGTGAATCACAGATGGCACTGTATGGCTGCAGCTTGTGGCAAAGGTTAAAGTTTCTTGAATGCAAGACAAACTGAAAGGTCAAGGTCAAGTGATCAAAAAAATTGTTATCCAGAGAATGGACTTGTCTCAATACATATGAAATATGGATACCTGAGCACAAACCAAAAGTTATAGCAAAAGTTAAGGATTTTTTTTTCAAATTTGGGTTAAATCGAAGGTCAAGTCAAAGTCAAATATAAACTTTTAGGTACCCTGAGAACAAAGGCATTGTCATATAGAAATAAACTAGAAAATAAAAGCCCTAGCAATAACTGTTCAAAGGTTATGGCCAAGTTCAAAGTTTTTAAAAGTAGGTCACACTGAAAGGTCAAGGTCAAGAGGTCAAAATAATAGGTATGCAAACAAAGGTCTCCTCACAAGGAATACACCTGTGAAATATAAAGGTTGTAGTACTAATTGTTAAACAGTTATATGGCCAATGTTTAAGAAGTTTTTACAAAGCGAGTCAATCTTACTGTGTGTCATCCAGCATGAAGCATTTTAGTTTGCAATTTAATGAACACATTCAGAATGCAAGTGATAATAAACAATTAATTTCACAAATGTAAGTTGCTCTTTTGATTAATGGTATTAATGTTACAAGATTTTTACACTGGTACAAATGTACTGTTTATATTAGGGTAGAAATATTTATTTGTTTATAGCAATCTTATATCACAAAAGTATTGTAGTCATATAAGTAGATTGAAAAAATTAATTGAAGAGTCTGAAGGGATTTTATAAGTCATGGTTTCTGAGGATTTAATTCAACTCAGGGAACTGTGAAGACAGGTTTGACTGTATTGTCTATGTAATGATAAATATTAAGTTTTTCAATGAAATAAAATCCGAGCAACATATTGTTATCATCACCTCACTAAGAAGTTGGAGGGGAGAAAGTAGCACCCCTGTGTGTGTGTTTGTTAGTGTGTAAGTGATGCACAAAACATAGGTGACATTATTAAATTTGCATCGGGATCAATGTCTAAATAATGTTGTCTTGATTTTTAAAATACGCTCTTTAATGCAAGGGTACGCTCCGTTTTGCTTTTGAACCTATATTTTTCATACATGGTTTGGAAAACCTATGAAACTTCTATGAAATCAAACCAAAGTTTTCATTTCCACATTTTTAGCTCACCTGAGCCGTAGGCTCAAGTGAGCTTTACATAAAAATTTATCGGTTTTTGATTTGTCGTTGTTGTCGTTGGTCGTAAAAATAGATATTTCATTGAAAACTTTTCACATTTTCATCTTCTTCCTACAGTTATAGTCTGATTTCAATATAACTTGGCACACAAGTAGACTGGGTGAGGTGAAAGATATATAAGTTTCTGTATATCGGCCCTTTTCCAAGGGGAGATGAATCATGAATTTGTTAAAAATTAATGAAATTTTTGAAAAAATCAAAATTCTTCTCCAGAACCGTTTGGGCCAGGAAATATAACTTAGCACACATCAGGTAGTGTAGATTCAATTTTGTATATCGGTTTTTGATTTCGATGAACGGTGTTGCCAAAATGGTTACTAAAAATAGAAATATATGTGAAATTCTTTAAAAATCTTCTTCTCAAGAACCACTAGGACAGGAAAGATGAAACTCATGTGGAATATAACTTGGCACACAAGTGTTGATTCAAGTTTGTACACAATCATGACCCCTCTGGCAAGGGTGGGGCCAATGAACATTTTTCATAGGAATATATAAAAATCTTTAAAAATTTCTTCTCCAGAACCACTGGGCCAGGAAAATAAACTCATGTGGAATACAGGTAGTTTTAAGTTTGTTATAATATAATGTGGCATGCAAAAGTAGACAAGTTTTACATAGGAATATATAAAAGATCTTTAAAAATCTTTATTCAATTTACTGGGCCAGGAAAGATAATCATGTGGAATCACCCTCATGTAGTGTAGATTCAAGTTTTTTCTCTTCCTTTGCCCTGGGGATAGGGTGGGGCAAAACCACCCAAGTTTTACATAGGGATATACAGGGAAACCTTTTAAAATCTTCTTTTCAAGTACTTCAGAGCTATGATTAGTAATACCTATTTGTATGGAATCATCCTCGGGTAGTGTAGATTCTAGTTTGTTCAAATGATGAATGCCTGGAAAACCTATATAAATTCTATAAAATCGATGTGCTCAGGTGAGCGCTGTGGCCCCTGGGCCTCTTGTTTTAAACTGCTATCATTGCCAAAGAACTAGGGAAAAGAATTTTTTTTTTTGAATTACTTTTGTCTCAGTTTGTAACAATTTTATATCCACATCACAGTGACATCTTTTGTATCAGTCTATTGTTCATCTTTGTTGCAGACTGAAATTTGGTGCTCCAATCTCGACAGCTCTGAAGAATGGGTACCTCCCAATCCCCCTAATGGTTTGTCTGTTTGTTTGTTTGTTTGTTAATGTGTCAAATAAAATTATAAATGAGGAATGGATACCTCCCGATCCTGCTAATGGTTTGTCTTTGTTTGTTTGTTAATGTGTCAGATAAAATATAAATAAAGAATAGGTACTTCTTTATCCCCCTCATGGTTTGTTTGTTTGTTAAGTTTATATTTGTCAGATGAAATTATTTATGAGGTCATCTTAAAACAAATGTTTGTTTTTTCTCCTCTGACTCAGATATCATCATACTTGTTAATGAGATGAGAAAATTCTGGAGAAAAAGAATAAAAAAAGAAGATATGTCATTTCTTGCAGTTTAAAAATAGTTTTGAGTCAGGACATTTTTAGCCAGTCGGCTGGGAGAGGGCAAACAAACAATTTTTTAGGGATTGCCCGAGTGAAAACAGCTTTTATAAATAACACACTATTTACACTTATCCTTTTTTAAAAGCACCCAGATTACGTAATTCACTTGCATTGATAGGATTGAAACTAGAATTGAGATAAGAAATTTGTATATATCGTATAATAAATGGTAGACTCCACGTAGGTTAAAATGTTATCATTTTATGGGGAACTAGTATTTTCTTCTTTATCTACCTGTTCTAACTTGGCCTCAAAGTTTCAAACTTTACACAACCAAAAATTGTTGCAACAAAAAGGGGGAAGGGCAGCAAGTTCCTTTCAATGAACATTTTTTTTTAGAAAAAGAGTGTGAGGACCACCCCCTCCCCCATCTCCTCTCTGATAATACATGTACGTGCCTGTATAGTAAGAGTGGTTGGTCCAGTATTCAATGTTCTATCTTCTTTGCATTAATCATTAAAATTAATCTATTTTCCTTTTAAAATATGTTGTTTTTTTCAAATTTAAATTTATAAAGATTTTTTACACAAAAAAAAAAAAATATTGCAAAAGGAAGCCTAGTAATGATTCCCTATATTTACATCTAAAAGAAACCAGAAATTATCCCAAGTTTCACTATACTTGATGCCATTGCATACCCAACAAATTAGACAGTGATTTAGTTGTGAGAAATTCCCCTGAACTGCAGGGGTTATCTTCACTTTTAAAAAATAAAATAAGTCTTTAAATCATTTAAATGCAACCCCCGAAATATTTTATTTTTAGTAAAAAATCACTTACATGACCATCAAAACTTTTTGTGTACAAGACGGAATGAACATTATCAATTTTTATTCAGACTTAGTTTAATGCTGTGTTACGATCTGAGGAACTTTGGTTTTTATTATACTGATTTTGGTTTTGGTTTAATGCTTGATTATAATTGTAGGAACTTTTGGTGTATATTGCGCATGAAGGAATGAATACTGCCGATTTGTTTCGCCGTCCAGGAAACCCTCGCGATACTCGACGAATCGTCAAACGAATGTCTGAAGGGAAACCAGTGATTTTCCAGAATTATAACCTGTACACCCTAACAACAGTTGTCAAGGTAAACTATCCCATTTGATAAATATATCTTCATTAAAAAATATATTTATATGACAAAATCTGAAAATTTGAATTAATAATTCAAATTTTCAGATTCAATCATTTTCACATGTATGGGTACTTTAAGTGAAAAGTCTAGGAATTTCACAGTTCTAGTCAAAAAAAAAGTTGTGTTGTAAATTTTTGCAACTGTATTTAGTTTGAGATTTGTCTGTCTGTTGTAGAAATTTTTGTTGCGGATCCCTGATGGTATTTAGTTAGAATTTTCTCTGTTGTAGAAATTTCTGTTACGGATCCCTGATGGTATTTTTGGCAAGGAAGGGGAGGCCACTCTGTTGTCCGTTCTGTCACTTCAACACAAGATGGAGCAGTATGAAGCTGTTCATGCGTAAATATCACGGCTTATCAATTTGTTTCAGCTGTCCACGCGTTAATATCACATCTTATCAATTTATTTCAGCTGTTCATGTGTAAATATCAGGGCTTGTCAATTTGTTTCAGCTGTTCACGCGTAAATATCACGGCTTGTCAATTTGTTTCAGCTGTTCACGCGTTAATATCACGGCTTGTCAATTTGTTCCAGCTGTTCATGTGTAAATATCAGGGCTTGTCAATTTGTTTCAGCTGTTCACGTGTAAATATCACGTCTTGTCAATTTGTTTCAGCTGTTCACCCGTAAATATCATGACTTGTCAATTTCTTAAGTCAGAGTCAGAGTAATAAATAAAGTATCAGCTGTTCAAGCGTAGATATCACGTCTAAAAAAAAAAAGTATCAACATTATTCAACATGTTCAAAAGCTTTATTAATTAAACACTCTGTAAAATCTCTATTTAATCCTTTAATTTGAAACAAGAAATTATCAGGTCCAAACAATATAAAACAAACTTCAAGAGTAATGGGTAATAACAAATAATGGAAAATCATTTATTTAATTAATTGAGGGGATTGGATGCTTCTTAGTTGTAGATAACACATTAATATGGACATACGAGAGGCATTTCAAAAGTTCTGGCAACTGTTTGGTATCATTGGAAAGATCAGAAAAATAAAAACCTATTGTGACGTCACTTTTTAATTTTTATGATGTAATAGCTCCGAAAATGACGTCAGAATATAGAATGTTTAGCATACTGATAAGTCGCGTTTTTTATCTATATGAAACGATCGTAAAAGTGCTGCCAAAGGCTTATTTGAAAAAAATATTTCAAAGAAAATTTTAATTTGCAAAGAGGTAGAGTAGGACTATGATACTATTTATCAGCAATTCCATTATTCATTGTATGGTCTGTTTACGAGCACAGTTTATGTCCGGTTATGCTATCACTGACATTCATTTAAGATTTTTATTTACATGATACGGCTAGGTTTTCGGTCTTTTATATAGCTCTCCATTGTTTGAAATAAAACATTTCTTGTATTAAACTGAAGTATATTAATGCAGTTTTCATCCAATATATTCTGAGTAATAGGACTCTTACCGTTTACGAATAAAACTAAATCATTGCCCCTGACTTGATTCTGTGCGTATATTTCATGTTAATTCAACTTTGGCGCCCCAAATCTCACTACTGCTTTTGACTTTTGAATCCAAAAAATAAATATAAGTTACACAGACAGATAATATCTTATTTATTTTCCATGTATTAAAATTTGCGAATATGTGGAGGTACAATGGGGTTACAACTGCACTGCCGCCATTTTGGATTTTACGAGAAAATATAGGGCACACTAAACTTAACTTCTCTGGAGCCTTCATCGATCCCACAAATCTGGTTAAAACACCTGACGAAATTTTGTAACACGATCGCCGATTTGTCTTTGATTGTCAACTTTGTCTTTTTCTCAGAGTTAGGTCTCTTTTTTACGCAGTAGTTTGAGCGAGATTCGATAAAAACATGCTAAGTTGAACACTCGCTAAAACCATTTCAGAACAAAAAGATCTCTGAAATAGAACACCAAATGATAGATTGTAGTCTATGTAAACATCCCACCAACTTGCATTTGCGTCCGTTAGCTTGCGTCCGAGTAATGAGCAAAAGTTGTCTTGAAAATTTTAATTTGATCAAATTGTGTCTTTTATTACGTCATTTTTATGGTCAGTATGCTAAACTTTCTATATTCTGACGTCATTTTCGGAGTTATAACGTCATAAAAATTATAAAGTGATGTCACAATAGGTGTATATTTTTCTGATTTTTCAGATGATATTAAACTCAATAACTTCCATAAAATGGTTAACTTTTTATTAAACAGTTGCCAGAACTTTTGAAATGCCCCTCGTATTAATTATTAAAGCTTAAATTGTACTGTAATTGTTAATTTAAGTGTTAATGGTCTGATTGTTCTTGATAGTGTTATTCTTTTGTTCTGACAGATTCCTAACATCCCTGAGCCGTGGACATCAACAGTTGGTCTCTCTCTTGTTTGGTATCTGGTTCACCATGATCAACAACAGCCACGTCAATTTCATGACAACGGAAGCCTTGTCTCGCAGCGTGGCCGGCAGTATGTTTCACTCCTGTGCCACCGACCCTGCGATGGTGGAACAGGCGAGCCAGGTGATGCAGATACTAATAGAGAACTTTGGCGTGGCCAGCATGTTTGGACAAGAAAACATTGAGTTCTTCGCTGAGACGACAAGGACTAGTATCCATATCAAAGAAAAATTCCGCTACCATTTCCAGTATCCCCCCGAGGATATTTTACCAGGTACGAAAAATTCTGTCAAATATCCTCCCACCCCTTTAAAGATATTTAGCCAGGTTAGAAAAATTCTGTCAAATATCCTCCCACCCCTTTAAAGATATTTAGCCAGGTTAGAAAAATTCTGTCAAATATCCTTCCACCCTCACCTGAGGATATACAAACAGGTAAGAAAAATTTTACTTCAATTTTCCACCACTCTATCCCTTTACCCCGAGGACTTTTTAGCTCACCTGAGCCGAAGGCTCAAGTGAGCTTTTCTGATCAAAATTTGTCAGTTGTCTGTCGTCGTCGTTGGCGTCATCGTCGTTGTCGTCGTCGTCGTAAACTTTTCACATTTTCATCTTCTTCTGAAGAACCACTGGGCCAATTTCAACCAAACTTGGCACAAAGTATCCTTAGGTGAAGGGAATTCAAGTTTGTTCAAATGAAGGGCCACGCCCCTTTCCAAGGGGAGATAATTATGAATTAGTGAAAAATTAATGGCATTTTTAAAAAATCTTCTCAAGAACCACTGGGCCAAAAAAGATGAAACTCATGTGGAAGCATCCTCAGGTAGTGTAGATTCAAATTTGTTCAAATCATGATCCCCGGGGGTAGGATGGGGCCACAATGGCCGATCAAAGCTTTACATAGGAGTATATAGGGAAAATCTTTAAAAATCTTCTTCTCAAGAACCACTGGGCCTGGAAAAATGAAACTCATGTGAAATCATCCTCAGGTAGTGTAGATTCAAGTTTGTTCAAATCATGACCCCCGGGGGTAGGGGGGGGGGGGCACAATGGCCAATCAAAGTTTTAGATAGGAATATATAGGAAAAATCTTTAAAAATCTTCTTCTCAAGAACCACTGGGCCAGGAAAAATGAAACTCATCTGAAATCATCCTCAGGTAGTGTAGATTCAAATTTATTCAAATCATGACCCCCGGGGGTAGGGGGGGGCACAATGGCCAATCAAAGTTTTACATAGGAATATATAGGAAAAATCTTTAAAAATCTTCTTCTTAAGAACCACTGGGCCAGGAAAGATGAAACTCATGTGAAATCATCCTCAGGTAGTGTAGATTCAATTTTTTTCAAATCATGACCCCCAGGGGTTGGGTGGGGCCACAATGGCCGATCGAAGTTTTACATAGGAGTATGTAGGAAAAATCTTTAAAAATCTTCCTAAGAACCACTGCGCCAGGAAAGATGAAACTCATGTGAAATCATCCTCAGGTAGAGTAGATTCTAGTTTGTTCATATCATGACCCCCGGGGGTAGGGTGGGGCCACAATGGCCGATCAAAGTTTTAGATAGGAATATATAGGAAAAATCTTTAAAAATCTTCTTCTCAAGAACCACTGCGCCAGGAAAGATGAAACTCATGTGAAATTATCCTCAGGTAGTGTAGATTCAAGTTTTTTTCAAATCATGACCCCCGGGGTTAGGGTGGGGCCGAAATGGCTGATCAAAGTTTTACATAGGACTAGATAGGGAAATCTTTTAAAATTGTCTTCTCAAGTACTTTAAAGTCATGATTAGTGATATTTGTGTGGAAACATCCTCAGGTAGAGTAGATTCTAGTTTGATCAAATCATAACCCCCAGGGATAGGGTTGGACCACAATGGGGGATCCAAGTTTTACATTGAAATATATTTACAGAAATCGTCTTCTTAAGAATAGCAATGCTTAAGAATAGCAATGCCATGATTAGTGATACTAGTATCTATATGCAAGCATTTTTAGGTAGTGTAGAATTAAATTTGTTCAAATCATAATCCCCAAGGGTAGGGTGGGGCCACAATGGTGGATCAAAGTTTTACATAAAAAAAGGGAAAAATCCCAAGAACAGAAAAGCTATGCTTAGTCGTATTGACAAGTAAGCATCCTCATGTATAGAAGATTTAAATTTATTCAAATCATGGCCCTTTGGGGTAAGGAGGGAAACAATGGGGAATCAAATTCAAATTACTATGAAGTTATATATAGGAAGAAAATGTTTTTAAAAAATATTTGTATCAAGAACAGTAAAGTCATATGCTGTGTTAATATGAAGGCATTCTCAAGTAGTATTAAAATTCAAGCACCCCTCCCCCCTTTCAGTAAACTTTTCAGTTCTGCTCTGATTTGTGCTTTTTCCAAGCCGATTTGCTCAGGTGAGCGATGTGGCCCCTGGGCCTCTTGTTGTATATGTTATATGTAAAATTAAAGTATCCCCCATACCCCTCTACTCCCCCTAATGAATATGCTTACAAAAGTTCTTATCTGGGAGATCCCTGTGATTCATTTCAAAACTCTACAGAAAATAAGATAAAATTCATCATAAAAATATAGTAAGAAATTTTATGGAATTGATCACATCACAATTCAAGACAAATGTAATCGCAATATAATGGAAGTCAATTTATGTGATAAATCACAGTGATTGTATGACAATTTGTTAACTTATTATCAATGTAAAACAAGTTCAATGGACCAAATACATCAGAATGTATGACAATTTGATGAATTGCATCGCAGTGTAAGATCATATTATGCGTTTTGAATTTTTATCAGTAAACACACCTTTTTGTTTCTTTCTTTTTTGTAGAATTTGCATGTAAATACTTTCTCTTTTCTTTTTTTGAAGATTTTAAGTTTTTTACCTAACATTCTATAAATTAATCATCAGTTAGTGAACAACAGATTTAATTTTCCTTTGTTATTGATTTTCCCATTTTTTGTGTGACGTAAACCCTTTGTTAGATAATTACTAATAGTTTTGTTTTTTGTTAATTTTTGCATGTTCTTTGCATGTTGTGTAGGGAGAGAGGCGTTAAAATGGTTTTGTTTGTACCTGTGTTATGAAGCACGGGACAAAAGATTCCATCCTGTAGAAAACGGTAAGACTGATACTAGGTACAAGTTAACTTTCATCCTATAAAAGACTGATACTGGGTACAACTTAACATCCATGCTATAATGACTGATACTTAGTAACACTTATATTGCTTTTGCTCTGTGTGGTTGCTTAGCTTCTGCTTTATCTTCCTCTCTGCTGTGTAGGTTTTAAATTTTGAGCTTGGCTTGGTAATGCTTTTTTGAGGCGCATCGTTTTCGATGCAGCCTCATTGCGATTACCTAGCATTTCTTTCTTGTTTACAGCGGCGACAAAGGACTCAATAACATTGATTCTTAACACGCTATTGAAAATAGTTCCAATGTATATTGAAAAGTTGGCGATATCCATAATCTAATTTTAAACAGCAAATAACATAAAATCTCACACATAAATGTTGTTTTTGCTTTGAATCAATAAAGGTTACGAAAAACGAAAAACAAACAATTAAAAACAAAGAAAGAAAACATCAACAAATGAAGGAGCACGTGCACTGCGCGGAGTAAGATCTATTTGCATAACAACAGCTCGTACTATAAATTATTCGGTTTTGTAAGGTGCAATTATTTGTATTCCTATCAGGAAGCATCACTAACATTATTTTTAAAAAAATATATCACTAGCAATTGAGACATAGAAACAGAATCGTTGTTTGTTTTTTTTAAATAAAGTGGATGTTATTATTTTTTCACACGAGTAAACGAATAGTAAGATGTCCAACTGAATAAATTTTTGCACAAGCGCCGCCTATCGGGAAAATATTTCCACGAGGTCACAAACAGCGATATGATCAGATATTGGTGAAAATTGTCAGTTAAATATGATGATTGACTAATAAAAACTGCAATTACTGTGAATTTCAATTTATAGTGTTTCTAATACCTTATAAACATAGACTTTTTAAAAGTTCAATCCTAACCACTAAGGTTTCGTAGCTAAAATTATATCGAAAATATTGGAGGGAACCGCTGCCATTGACGAGTTCATAAGAAACCGTGTACCAAGCCGGATTGTTTTTATTTAGTCCTGTATTATTAGGGCCCCGCAAGGATTTGCGGGTGCCCTATAGTAATCACTCTGTCTGTCCGTCCGTCCGTCCGTCCGTCTGTCTGTCTAGCTGTCCGTCTGTCACTCTTCCGTCCACAAATTTTCTGTTTTTTTCTAATAACTTTTTTTATGGTTGCCCAATCAAGTTTAAATTTGGTATGGTAGTTTAATAGGCAGAAAGACATATTTTGATGCTAAGTTTGATTCTGTATGTCTTCTAGTTTGGAGCTGGGGTGGTGGGGTAGATTCCTAAACTATGCATAAGAATGAACGGGCAACTTTTTTCATGGTTGCCCAATTAAGATCAAATTTGGTACGGTAGTTCAGTAGGCAAAAATACATATTTTGATGCTAAGTTTGGTTCTCTATGTCCCTTGGTTTGGAGCTGGGGTGGTGGGGTAGATTCCTTAACTTTATATAAGAATGCATTGGCAAAGAGAGATAACTGCTGAAGATGTTCCCATTCAGTAAACTGAATGCTACTAGGAGTCCCATGAGATTGATTAGCTTTCCTCCTGAAGAAATTCCAGAGCATTATCTTTATCTGTCACTTTGAGATTAATTACCACCTCTGTCTGCAAATGAAGTTTGTTTTGAAGTTAAATCAATTTGGAATTCTATGAAATACTCTGATATGTGGATTTAAATATAAATTTTTATTATTTATTGTTTGATAGTTATGATTTCATTGAATCCTAAAAAAAGAAATAGATTAAAGAAGATTTTTTGATTTACCAGGGTACTTTTTTTTTTCTCACTTTTTTCCTTTTTTTTTAAATATATTAATTCAAGAATGTTTTTAATTTTTAATGTAGTTGTATAAAAACTCCGTTCTATCATTAATACTGAAAAAAGTCCTTATTGTAACTTTAGAAGAAAATGATGAGAGAGGTACAATTAATCCCTTGGGATTAATTATCTAGCCTGCTGCAGAAAATTTAGTAGGCTTCTCTTTATCTGTCACTTTAAGATTAATGAAAACCTTTGTCTGCAACTGCTGTTTGTTTGAAGTTAAGGTCAAGCCTTCATGATATTTGCATTCATTGAAGGCTGGCATTTTATATAACACAAGATTCATAATTGTTTAAATATAAATTCAATGTTAAGTTGTTCTTTACTGCCTAATGTAAATACAAGAATATTATTTTCAGGTTTTTGAATATTCAGGAATTATGTTGAAATTTTAAGAATACAGTTGCTGTTGCTTTTTCTTTGTACATTTATTAATCATTCTGTAAGCTGCACCCTTTTAATTCTACCCCATGGCGGGGCCCTTGCTGACTGGTCAGTTTTCTAGTTTATATGAACATTTCATGTTTATAACTATTGTTAATTGTGCCATCTTGATTGAGAAAAAGAAGTTAAAAACAAAGTTGTGATATTTATAAAAGTGCAAATAATGAAAGAAACTGAAATAATTCAGATATGAAATTATGTAGAATTACGTATTCAATAATCATTACTACACAGTAATTTCTATAATGTCATTCATTATTTCATCTCCGATTCCTACTATGCTATTAGTCAAAGAATAACCTTAAAAAAATTAAAATATGATTAAAATCAATAATGAATTTATTTAAATATCAATTAATCGTAATTGATATATCAGACTTTTTTTTTTTTTTTTAATTTTTTCCACCCTCCTGATCGACTGGCTAAAAATGCCATGGCTCAATTGTCTGAACCTCAAAGAAACCTTACTTAATTTTTTTTAATCCTTATTACTGGTTTATTTCATTCCCTTAACATTAACGTTGAATTTTTCTAAGAAAAAAAGTTTTATACCCTCACTGCGATGCGCCTCTCAGGCCTTCAGGCCTTTGATTTAAAAAAGCAAACATGCTATTGAACTTTGGTATCTTGAACACCAATATGATCTTGTACCACTTCTTCATTAGGCATGTTAGTATTGAAATCTTGAATCCTCAGCTATATTGAATTGTTTCGGTCCCATTGCATGTACAGGATAACAAGGTTTTATTGTAAGTTGGTAAATTGGGTCATACCATATAAGTAGAATTTTTTGAGAGGATTTAATTTTGGCATTATTAGCGAGGGTGTTGACATCGTTAAATATAAAATACATGCGCAGTACAGTTAAGGTGTGCAATGAAAATATCGACTAAATTCTGTATTTAAAAATGTATTCAATTGTAATCGGGATGGCGATTATTTTTAGTACATTATTTATATCGGATAATTGTAATTATGATTAATAACTACATATCGAGGAGGATTATATTTTATATTTAGACTAGTCACGTGATGCGGCAGTCACGCGATTTAAGCACATTGACTTAAAATATTGATGTTACATATAAATATCACTAGTGTAAGGGCATAACCAAGTTAAATTTCCAAGTTTAGTATATAAATATTTTCAACACGCATTGTAGTTTCTAAAAAGTGCTGCGATCCTGTCTAAATTATGCAATTTCATTGTTAAAATTATACTTGTATGACTGAATGCTATATTTTTTGCTGGTCAGCGGCATGAAATATTGATATGATTAAATTGTTTTTAAGAATTCATCAGGATTGCAGCACTTTTCAGATACCTTGATAGTTTTATAGTTGAAATGTAAAAGCTTAGTTTGATCCATAAAGTGTATGCCCTTGCACTAGATCGATTTATTAAGACCCCCTACATTACCCTCCGATGTACTTACATACAAATATACGGCAGTGTCAATTAAATATGTAATGTACAGAAAATATATTGATAAAATAGTGAAGAAGACATTAGATTCAAGTTATTGGCCCATACAATATCTGTAAATAATATTTTATTCAATTAGAGAATACATATTTTGTTGAGAAAATATTACTAGATCTGTCTCTCCCTGCATACAAACTACGTCACGTTGTAAGAAGTGACGTCATATTGACAAGTGTATTGCAATCAGTGACTTGTTTATAACTTGTTATGTGGGATTTAACTAAAGACAAAACAACACACTGTAGTAATTAAGTTTTTATGTAGTTTGATGATTTCTTACTGGTTAAATTAGCAGATAAACTCATTTTGTGGTCTTTTAAAGAAATGTTGTATGACGTATACTGTGTATGATGTCATAGTCAAGTTTTCCCGTACAAATTAGGCTCCGCCTCCTTTTTGTAACGTTAACTGTGCTGCGTGGTTACTGTCTTGAAATATAAGCGATATTTGGGCGAGGGTAAGAAAACGTGATAGAGGGCGAGGCTTGCCGAGCCCTCTTACGTTTTTGACCTGAGCCCAAATATCGCTTATATTTCAGGACAGTTATCATGTATTTTGTTTATCCTGCAACAAAATTTTACATTTGAACATCCAAAACAAGCTATTTCCGACAGATTTAGGAACATCTCTGTATTTGAAACTATGACGCCATGGCGTAAACATTGCAATATGCATGACGTCACAATGCTTTTAGAACGTTGGAATACATGCACGAGGCTTTATTAGGGCAGTGACTGGATAAAGCTTTGGTTTATTAGGTTACCTTTATTAGGTCAATGCAAGGGGTAGTTGCAGGATAAAATTGAATATGGCTAATAATTGTATTATTTGTAATAGCTTCTTTAGTTAGCATTTTAAAATTGCTAAAATTACTTCTCGCCAAAAATAAAATACCAGAATTTAGGTGGAAATCGCTAAATTTGCGTCTCGCTAAATTTTCCACTTATACGGTATTCAGTGCTCTGTGGACAAATTGGTGAACAACACTCTCCATCAGAGGCTTTTTAATCTCCTCATCCTATGAAGCTAATGTCTAATGGCCTACTGCATGTGTAGTTCTAGAAGTAATCAAATATAATTCATTATCAGCAGCACCCTGTTACACAGAGTATGTCTCCTTGTCAAAGCTGATCTTTGTACATAATACAGCATTTAGAGTCCATTGATGACAAGAAAGAGAGAAAGAGGGTTACAAAAAGAGAAAAGAGAATCTTGATAATTAAGCTGTTAAACTACAGCATCTGTATGCATTTCTCTTGACAAAATTCCAAAAGTAGTTGGAACAATTGATAAAGCTGGGAATTTTTCTCTTTTAGCGATTACAGAAGAAGGTTTTTACGAATCGTCACGGAGACAAGACCACGAGGAGGAAGTGATGGAGATGGTGGACCAGTCTCCTGATTTACGTCATTATCTCAGTCCCCGCGGCGACGGAGAATCAGCCACACGACAACTCGCGGCATCCACCATCTCAGCCCCCGAGGTGTCCCTCGTACCCTCCCCCGGAGTCATCAGTAAAGTAGGTCAAACCTCCATCAGTAAAGTAGGTCAAACCTCCATCAGTAAAGTAGGTCAAACCTCCATCAGTAAAGTAGGTCAAACCTCCATAAGTAAAGTAGATCAAACCTCCATCAGTAATGTAGGTCAAAGCTGCAGTAAAGTAGGTCAAAGCTCCATCAGTGAAGTAGGTCAAAGCTCCATCAGTAAAGTAGGTCAAACCTCCATCAGTAAAGTAGGTCAAACCTCCAGCAGTAATGAAGATCAAATCTGTTTCTAAATCCGTTTCCCTCCATTAAATAAGTCAAAATCTCCATCAAAAAGGATAAATATAGGATTTCTGTAACCTTAAAGTAGGTCAAGGGTTTAATAATATACTTTATATATCAGTAAAGTAGGTCTGTGTTTTCCATCAGTAAAGTAGGTTAAAAAATCAGGTTTTTATGCTTAAGGAATGTCAAAATCATTTCATGAGAAAAGTAGGTCAAAATCTTTTTAACCCAAGAAAAGTAGGCCAAAATCTGCTTTCAAATGGATAAGTAAGTTAAAAATTTTATAAAACACTAATATCACTGATATTAGCATGATTTTAAAATGGGAATATGCTAATGATATTCCAGTAATTATCAAAAGTTCTGAACGATTAGATTAAGTTGATGAGTTTTTTTTTCATTGTAAGTGTGAAACACAGTGATTTTTATGATTTTTTTTCCTCAGAGACCAAAGTCGCTGGAGGACAACTTGAATGATGTGGATGAGCCACTACAGCCTCGGCCGAGCTTGAGCCGATTTAATTCAGTGAAGCGTAAACAATTGGAGAGACTGCGCCAGCGTTCAGACTGGTTCTTAGGACCAAACACCAACAATCAGGGGTCATTACCATTATCACCCGATCAAAGTTCTCATTCGGACTCCAGAGCTTCTTACAACACAGAAAAACTTCACAAAAAAATGTCCGGGAATTCTGTGACTAAAGCGTCGTCGGAGGGTACGGCCCTGGACTTCGCTTCCTCCGACGCTGATAGTGTGTTTTCAGATCGGAGCGAGTCCCCGGCCTCGGAACCATTGCCAACGCCGAGTGTGACTATAACTCGTGACATCATCCATAGTGACACGATCACCGACGTCTCCATGGCAGAGGGCGACATCACCATGGAGGAAATGGCGCCGCGGAAGGACAGCGACGGAGAAATTTGCGGCTCCGAGTACTGCTTTTTTGTCGTAGAGCATAATTACGGTGACAAAGGATCCTAGCGTCAGGAAATCCTCCGATCCAACAAGCAGCTAAATCCACGTCACCCGACACATCGCAATATTTGTTTTTGTTTTTATATATTGGTGTATTGATTGAGAAACTTAAATTTAATGCACATTATGTGAGAGAAAGTCGGTATCTGTGGTCATTGTATGTAGTTGTTGTGAACTTCTTGAAATTTTTTTCTTATACATTGTATGTTTAAATTAACCCTTGATTTTTTAAGGGACAAATTTGTGTGGAATCAAAAAGGTGTTTCAAATGTGAGGCAAGGATCATACAGGGGTGTAATGATCATTTGTATAATCTGTTGTTGCCTAAACTTTTTTTTGATGAATAACAATGTTGTACATGTCACTCAGATTGCAGTTTTTTGCCTCAAGTTTTTTTTTTTTTAACACTTTTGTTGAAGAGAACGAGATAAACTAAGAAACTTTCCATGTCCCTACTTATAGGATTTTTTGCTAGGTTCCTTCATTCTTCATAGATAAAATTTATGAGAAATGCACATCCATGGACGCTAGATCAGGGTTAGAATATTTATTACCTCCCATACACTAACACAAGCATTAACATGATTAATATACTTTGCACTATTTAGCAATTAATGTTACTATTTTTAACTTCATAACAATGGGAGTAGAGGGTCCAATCTAGAAACCTTGCCTTAACACATCATCATAGAGAAGCAGATATTTAACTAATTAATTAAAATCAATTAATTATAATCAAGACACACATGTCGGATTACTATGCACATTTTTGACACTGCTTTGAGATCGGTTTTATTTTTGGACCAGGCAGAGTATTTAGGTTGAAAATTTACACTCAGGTATTTTCAAATTTTCCTGAATTTTGTTATTTTCTCCAGAACATCTTATACAATACATAATCTTTTTAGTATTTGAATCATTTGTTTTTATGGAAAAGGATGTGATCAGAAAACTTAAGTTGTGAGAAAATTTCTTTTAAATCATTTTCCTTAACCAAATGGATTTTCAGAGCTATCCATTTGCTTTTATGAATGTAAAATTCACTTTTCTGTATGCTAATAATGTGTCACTAAACATATTGCAGATAAAATATATAATGGTAAAACATAAAGACCATATTTGCTTTTGAAAATCTTTTTAAAAAAATGAAAACTTGATCAGAAAAAAAGTTCCTCCCAATTGCAACCCTGTGATGTCAATGAACATTTTTTTTTTGGCAAAGGCAATGACACAGTTTAATCAAAATTAACTACTGAGATTTTGAAGTAGTTGTACACCTTTTTTTAACGGTTGACTACCTGACCCTACTGGTGAGGCCATTTAAATTTTTCTTTATTGATGAACTCTAAACCACATTTTTTGACGTGGGTAGGTAAGATTTCTTTTTTGAATTAGACCATGCCAAGTTTTTCTCTATTAAGAATCATTCTTCTTCTTTAATAAAACTGTTTTAATAGAACTATTTTTTTAAAAATCAAAATCAAGGTATTGAATTCTTTTAAATACACACAAATATTTCATGTACACAGAATTGTAGAGAAATTAACAGATCAACATTTGTTTGAAATTAACATTTCAAACAAAATACTGTATAAGTGGAAATTTTAGCGAGATGCAAATTTAGCGATTTGTCCTTAGAAACTGGTAATTTAATTTTAGCGAGATGTTATATTAGCAATTTCTAAATGCACACTAAAGAGCCTATTTCAAATAATGTGCAATTTATTTTTAGCGATTTTAAATTTTAGCGATCTTGGCACCCTCACTAATAATGCCAAAATTAAATTCTCGCTAAAAATTCTACTTATACAGTAATCAATTTCAGGACTCCTGATTTTTTTTTTTCACACTTATGGAGTGTCAAAATCCAAGATGCATGCAGATGCTGAAAAAAGAAAGAAAAACTTGAAATGGCCTTATCAGACACACTGATAACTGTTTTATTATTGATGTTTTCAGTAAAGACAGGACAACAGATTTAAGGTTTACTGCTTTATGAATTTCAATATAAAAATTGTCTTTGAGAAATGATAAACCTGAAGAGCATATGACATATAACACATTCTAGTTTTGAACTTAAAAAGTGTTTGATAGTCCAAGTTTGCGAGCCCCTTTGAAGTGTCTCCTATATGCTGTTACTAGTTTGTTAATTTTGTTATTGGCTTTTAATTTTCATTACCTTGCTTGTTTTTTATTATTCCATTTTCAGTCTAGTCCCTAACTTTGTGTAATATGTATGGATTTAACATTGTACAATGGAGTATGGAGAAGCTCCCTTATAAGTACATCATTTATTACGTATGTCTGTTTTTACTAAGAATGCGATGGAGTCATTTTTCTATTCTGTATTAGACTAAGTGCAATTGGTGGATGTCTACATATGTACAGAGTTTTACATTGTTAATTCTCGTCAAGTTCAACAGCCCTTTTTTCCAGAAGCATTCATAACTTTCAGCATTGTCTAAAGACAAATTAAGGTATGGTTAGAGCTCAGTTAGGCCCTATAGTTTAGATACAAAACATTGTAAAAGTTATCTTAGACATTTGGTAGATTCAAAACCAAACTTTTATGGAGAGAAATTATTATATACACTAACTACAGCAATTTTCGCATAATTATAATGTATAGGAGCAATGTTAGTCTTTTTTTAACTTTTAAAAGAATTTTTTTTTCACAAGTACTAAGCATTCTTACTCTCCAAGTCCCCTCCTACATATTTTCTCTATGTTCCCTGTGTGAAATAGGAATAATTATGATAAATATCCTGTATAATATTTCTACTAATTCTCAGACTTTCACTTTATTATTGTCTCGTACATACTTTCACATACTTCTAAAATGGAAGGGAAACAAATTATACTTTGACAGAAAAAAAATTTAAACATATGTAGACTGCAAATATAAAACTCAATCAAATTCAAACATAATTTGGCAAGAACATGTATCTGCATTTTCACATCAAATTAAAGCAGAAAGAATGTTGTAAAAACAGAAGTGTGATATCACACAGTATAATGGAGTGTCCTTGACCTTGTAAAGTCTAAGAAGGTCAGACCCATGGTTAAAATGGGTGGGTGGGTTAAAAGAAAGGAATATGAACAGGTGACTAAAGATAAACTTCTATAGACCTTAACAGTGGCTATATAACAGTGTATGCATGTTAAATCATTGTCATACGAGTGTTTAATTAATATTTAAGGTTTTTCCCCTAAGCTTGAACAGGAGACAGAGAGCTCTGACCATACCTTGTTCCTTACACAACACGTGCAATTTTGTATTCCTGTCTCAGTTTATTTATTGAAATAGATGTAAGTTATGTATAGCTTGGAGTAAAGTATGTATGAACCATATTACTTATGTTTATTTGTGTATAAAAATTGCTCCAAAATTAGATAAGTTCCCTAATATATTTTAAATTAGGGTTTTCTTTTAAATGGCTGCTTGCGTTATACCCTTTTCTGTGTTCTTGGAATTAAAACTTTATTGAGTTTTATTAGACTTTATGTGTTCATTAATTCTGTACAATGAAGTATAAATGTCTATGAGGGTCGATGCAAAACCAAGCGTGAACTCCTCTGCACAGGAAGTACGTTACTTACGTAGTTATGACGTCACTCTAGAACAGCACGCAGTTTCAGTTTATCTGCAAATCTTTTTTAACCTCTCGCTTCTTTTTAATCATCTTTCCTGCCGTTTTGCTTTAAAGCGTCTAGTTTTGAATTGTATTTGTTAAAAGTATTTGAACTTTGTCCCTATTTTAAGTTCAATTGATCTGACGTATCGCCAGATTCATTGAGTTAGTGACGTCATATTTTAACTGGTAACCCACTCATGTTATCCCTCTTCAGCTCAAATGTTGAAAAATTTAACATCCTAAATTAATGCCAGACTTGTTCGAGAAAGAACTATATGCGGTATATTGCATATATTTGCCCCCACAAAAGTCAAATTTTGAAAACTTCCTGAAATGTGCTGAATTCAATAAATTGTACAGGGTGATCCAAAATATCTGATACCATTTCAAGCGATAATAATTCTTTAAAATATTATAAAACTCTATGTTTAGATATTTCAAATTTTAACCTAAGTTATAACATTTTATACAAAACATGCCACAGATTTTATACACATTCTTGAAAATAATAATACAGTCTCAAAATAATGCTGTTATTTACAGCATTTGCTCTACGTGACGTCCATTGTTCAATCACGAGTTCAAGTTTTTTTCTTAATAGTATTGATCACATTTCAGCACATGTTTGGTGTAATTTTCCTAATTTCTGGGATAATTGCTGATTTCAGATCCTCAAGGGTGTTTGGCTTTGGAGTATACACATGCATTGTATTTCAAAAATCCCACAGGAAAAAATCCAGTGGTCTTAAATCTGGGGCATGTGGTGGCCAAACAGAGTCCTTCTAGAACCAAATCATTATGTTACCGAATGTGTTCTGTAACCATCTAGGAATTTAACCTGATGTGTGTGGGTTTGCTCCATCTTGGTGGAAATAAATATCAGCAATATAAATACCTACCCTGTGCAGAGCTGGGATGAATTTGTTCCTTAGAAGATGCAAGTAACGGTCACTGTTAACAGTTTTCACCTCCTCATCGATTTCGAAAAAAATGACCCAGTCACTCCAGTAGAACTAAGACCTGCCCAGACTGCCACCTTATCATCATGCATGCAATGGCTTAATTCTACTAAACCAGTCTTTTGAAATCTCTTCTCTTACCTATGAACTTTCAGTTTTGTAAGCTAAGTGTCTAATGGATGTCTTTTTTCATGATATGAATCACTGTTTTGGGTGAAAGTGTCTCAAAATATAATTGGACAATTTCCGCAGTTCTCTGATTTGACATATTCATGTCAGATAAACAATAACAGTTTTATGACGTCATAACGTCATGACGACGTTAATGATTTTCCGTATTATCATATTTATTAGAAGTTTAAAATGATGTATAAATGAAATAGGTAGAACGATTATTGACAAAGTTATTGAAAGTCAAAGTAGTATCATATATTTTGGATCACCCTGTATGAGAAATAGCAATTAACAGAAAATATTATAGTGTCAAAGCAGTGTATTGACAATTTTTGTTTTTATGACGTCACAAACTAATCCGATTTTATATCCTTTTTCAGAAAGAGGACAAAATGGACAAAATTTCAACAATTTTAGCTTTAAAATTTATAGAGTGCAAGTTTGTTCAGGAACAATATTGACATATTTCATTGATATTATCATTCTACACATTATATCAAAATATTGATCCTGAACACATGCGCTCGGTGACTTTTACTCAAAATATCGATGAAATATGTACATTTTTCTGTAAAATTCATTAAAAAAACTGAAATTTACGTCATGTTTGTGACGTCATTATGTACATATGGCGTCATTACTTATGAAAATATTCAGTGCTTTGAAGTCAGCATATACTCCCCCGTTTAAGAACTTAATTAAATATATCTACATCAAAGTTTGATATGGGGGGCAAATATTGGTTATTATACCGAATAAAGTTCTTTATTACTAATAAAAGATTAACATAAAATAATTTTACAAAAGTTGTATTAAATACCAATGTAATTAGAATTCATATAAGACGTAACAGTAAAATGAGGAACTTATATCACTTATTTTAAAAGGTCCTGAACATAGGCAACCCCGATCCTTCAACTGGCGTCGGAATTTCATAAATATTATGGATTCCGTTGAAGACGAGTCAGGTATGAAATAGAAGACGTTGGCACTTTGTCAGAATGATAATGTTATGCGTGAAAAGAAGAAAATGCTTGCTGTCGCCTTAAACACTACATTTACATATATCGACGACGTATTGTCAATTTAACAATGGTAATTTCCATTCCTATGCCGGTACGATATATCCTGGTGAGCTTGAGATGAAAGATACCACAGATTCTAACATATCTGTTTCATACTTGGATATTTTACTTGAAAAAGACATTAATGGTAATCTAACAACCAAGCTCTATGATAAACGTGATGACTTTAACTTTTCTATCGCCAACTTCCCTTACTTATGCAGCAATATACCTTCACCTGCAAACGGATTTTATATACAGTGTATCACAGTTGATTCGATACGCAAGAGCATGCTCTACGTAGGAACATTTTTTAAAACGAGGTAAATTATTGACAAACAAGTTGATGATACAAGATATCAGCAGTCTCGTTTAAAGTCATCGTTTCGTAACTTTAGTGGTCGATACAATGACCTTGTCACCAAATACAATTTATCATTGAGTCAAATGCTGTCATGACATTTGTCATACTAAGTGTTATTTAATTATTTATACACTGAATTGACGCCGGTTTTTTCCGGTATTTCATGATCATGACAAGGAGCACACGGCGGGTGTGACCGGTCAGCAGTGGCTGCTCACTCCTCCATGAGTGATCCCATGGCCACCTTTGATAATTTGAAGGTCCGTGTTTGCTCTGCTCCTGTTTCGTGTTGTTTTATGAACTTTAGATCTTGAATACTGTTCGTTATCTCCGTATGTTTCATAAGGCGCTTGGAGGTTGATGTTTTATATTATTTCCTCTGAATCCGAGGCTACATGTATGCACTGCAAAATAAATACGCCAATGCATTATGGAAAGTTCAAATATTTTTTTTTACCCAAAAAGTAGACATTTCAGCACATGTATTGAGTGTTCAACGATTTAAATCATACTTAAGAGATTAATAAATTTATGGATGAACTGAAAATAGATTTTTAAAGCGTTCACTAGTCGTGTAAATTTAAGGTAGAACTAAATTTATTTAGGGTTTCTCTCTTCCTATAAGGTTTAACTAGATATATGTATCCACTGATTTGATTAAGCTGTGCACTAATCCTAAGGTATCAGTAGATTTGATCGTCCATGACACTAGTCCTAAAGAATAAATACATTTATGTCAGTAGTCTTGTGACGTACCCTGATTGTTTCTATAAATATATACGGTTAAGTACGAGGGGTGATCAAAAAGTTCGCAAACTAATAGAATAACTTTTAAAATATCTTTCAAAGTGAGATTTTGAGTTTATTCTTTTTCAAAGTAGGCCCCTCTAGCTTTTATGCACTTTTCCCATCGGTCTGCCCATGCGCGAAACACGTGATCCAAGCCATCACGTGACATGACCCTTAGCACCTTGTTCACAGCAGTACCAAGATCTTCCCGGGACTCATATTTTTCTCCCCGTAGGTTATCTTTCAAAACTGGAAATAGCCAGAAGTCACAAATTGCCAAATCTGGGCTGTAGGGGGAATGAATTAGGTTTTCTATACCCAGTGTTTCCATGGTGTCCATCACAACCCGACTTTTATGGCTAGGTGCGTTATCATGGTGCAGAATGAATCCAGATCTTATCAGATCTGGGCGCTTTCTCTTTACTGCTCTCATCAAATCTAATTTGATAACCCGTGCATAGTAGTCCCCAGTAACTGAAGTTTTGGGTGGTACCATGTGATTTAGAATTATACCGTTGATGTCACAGAAAACTATGAGCATAACCTACCCTGCTGACTTGGTTACGCGCGCTTTTATTGATGATGGCGAGGAAGGATGCTTCCAAATTGAACTTTGTTGTTTACTTTCTGGCTCATAGAAATGTACCCAATGTGATGATTCTATTCATGAAATGATTTTTTTTCTTTTTTATATCTACTAGGACCGGCACGCATTCACTCTCACCCTCATTTGCTCTGGCAGAAGGAGGCGAGGGACCCATCTCGCACAAACTCGCCGCATGTTAAGCTTACTCGTTAAAATCTCTTGAACTGTTCCATAAGACATGCTAAGATCATTAGGTATCTCCCTAATCGTAACTCTTCGATCTTTCATTACATATTGTTCAACCTCAGACACGTTTATCTCGGTACTTACGTTCAGCGGGCACCCAGATCTATCATCATCTTTCACCGTCTCCCTTCCCTCAATAAAACGTTTCATCCACTTACTTATTGTACCTTATGAAAGCCCACATTCCCCATAAACTTTATGTAAATCATCGTATATTTCCGTGAAGGATTTACCTAGTTTTACATAAAATTTTATTATAGGTCTTTGTTCAAGTACGATTGACTCATCCATTTTCGTCACAGTCGCCTCTATATTGACGTCATTTTAACATCATGACGTCATAATTATGACGCACATTTCAACATGACACATACTGCATAAAGCACATGTATAGGGCTATATTTATGACAAATTTCATTCTTGTCAGAACTGTAGTTAGGTAGATAGAGAATTAGTTTGCGAACTTTTTGATCACCCATCGTATGATAAGCCCTTAATATCGTTAACAGATAAAGAATCCTTTCCTCATGTGTCATTGACACGGTGACTCCAAAGAAAAGGCAACATACAAAGTATTTATGATTTTATTACAAAAAGCACAACATTTAAGAAATTTTCAACATAGTTAGCAAATATCTTTTAGTACATAAAATGGGCTAGTACTCAAACGAAAGAATGTTTTACGAATGTTTATCTAAAAGTAATGTCACATCAGCATTAAGATCTCTTCAATTCGAAAATTTTCATAAAAATTTTTAACACTTATGTCTCCCTCTATTTTGATTTTGTCCTAAAACTTAATTTAGAAATGTGTCATAGTTTATGAAACATCAAAATTAACACAACGTTGGGTCTTGTTTTTATCCCCACAAGGCAGGAATATACCGACGTCGTAGTGACGGATCTCCTTAGCACTCATTTTGAATCTGATGATACATTAGGTTTAAGTAAAAGGAATAAATTTAGAAATAACGTTTGTACAAAGTTAAAATGATTTTAATACTTCAACTGAAAACTAGACGGTTTTGTAGCAAATAAGAAAAAAAAAGGCCGTAAAGATCATTAAAACGAAACAGGTGAGAGGTTTAAAATATGTGTGGGTGGACTGAAAATGAGTGACGTAAAGTGACGCCATAACGACGTCGAAAACATTCTTCCAGTGCGGCGATAGACAAAACCTGAAATAATGTTTATCTTAATAATTAAAAAAAGCAAGTTATTTCTAAAATCACTGATACGGAAATGAAGTTTTAGGGCAAAAATCAAATTAGAGAGGGGTACTTGAATATTAATTTTTTTGTTAACAAAATTTTCGATTTTAAAGATTTTACAGCGGTTGTGACATAACGTTTGGATCCACCTTCGTATTTTTGATGTATCACTTTGTCGGAACAAAACACAGAGACCTACAGAGTAAGACTTTGGTTTAATAAGAATAACCGTTGGTGGACAAGGGAAAACTTTCCTGTGAGATTTTAGGCTGAAATCAGCTATCCGTAACAGTTTTAACTATACCTTCTCTGTGAGTCCGTTTTTGCTCAGTCAAAATGACTCAGTTGTTTAAAATAATCTGTCATAGCTTGTCTGTAAAACGTCAACTTGTTCCTAAAGGATTTACCTGATATTAAAACATGTGGCCATTACGAGTTTTTCATTTCTGGGTATTACTAGATCCTGTGGTGAGTTCTTGAATGAAAAAATATTTCCTTCATTGAAGATTTATTACAAATCAAATTTAGAAACAGTTCATTTCTTTTTTTTCCTGATCCCGCATCTAGTATTTTCAGGGTCTGTAATTTTACCCTGCTCAGGATTTATTTTATTTTGTTTACCATATCTATGAGGCTAACCACTGTTAGTTTTCTTCATTTCTTCATCTTACTTAAAAAAACTTATATCATTAAAAAAAATTGGATTTTTAAACCCAATTCAACACAGACTTTTTACACATCACAATGTCTGAATAGCACGACATTAAATTTAAGAAATAGAACATTACTGTTTGTAATACACTAGATTATCACAATAAAGTTACAAAATATATTCTTCACAACATTGTTTTAATAAATTACACATAAAAAAGTTTTTCTTGTACTATATTTATATGGTATTGTAACTCTGATTGATTTTTGCTAAATTTGATGAATCAATGATTTTTTTTCTTTTATGCAACTTAAAATATAAAATGAAAAAGAAATAAAAAAATATTTTTAAAAATTTGAACAACATGAACACTGACTAGATATATTGAAATTGACCCCAAATAATCCTTAAAAATTTTAAATGATCATTATCAATTGAGAACATGCATTTTTGACTTTGACAAATGATAAACAAGTACAGAAATTCCTCGTTTTTTTCTAAAAATATTTTTTCTGACCAGTGAGACATAATATTAGTATTGTTTTTATTGTTGGCATCGCTTAAATGATTCAATATATGTGTCTATTTATAAAAAAACAAGAAAACCCGTTTTATTCAATAAAAACGTTTTTAAATAATTCAATTTTAAATTGCATCTAGTCTATTCTTGATTTACGAGCACAATTTTTTAATAATACGAATCATTCAAAATTCTGACATGTAAAAGGCTAAAATACTGCTAATTTTACAAAACTATGGTACAAGATACTTATTCCATATAATGTTGTTGATATTGTGCAGATGTCCTTGGTCTTAAATTCAAATTAGAAGCTGTGCTCCCTAGCAACATTTTGACCACGCCAAACCCTTATCTGCACCTAACTAACAATATTTTACTTTCATCTAAATTTCTTTAATAGGTTTCATCGAAAATCACATTTGTTTAATAAAAAAAGCGGTTACCTTCAGCACCCAGAACAATTTCGTTATTATAATTCAGGATAGATAATACATCAAATCTTGTTTTTGCGCCTGTGTATAGTTATCATCATAGTTAATAGAGCTTCAGTATACTTCCTGTGCAGCCTAACGTTAGGCCTGATCACATTCTGACTCAGGTTCTGTGTCTGATCATCAACACTGTCTTCTGTAGAGATTCCTGTATCTCCAATGGCCAGGACTTCCATACCGAATATATACCGCCAGACACACCAGCCTGTCCGTACTCTCCGTTAAGGTTTGAGTTGAAACAATTATTGTACCACCAGGCTCCGTGGTAATCAGCAGCACAATTAACACCATTCCAGGCGTCGTTGTCCTGGTCTTTGGTACTGAATTTCATACCATTGTGAACATCCAAACTGTCACCTGAAACAGAGAATAATGACAATATTTACATTTCTATATGCATTTTTTGCAAACAGGAAGACTGTTCATTTTCTCATGAACTACCTATATCTCCATTGTTACGTCATAATACCGCACTTGACATCAAAACTATAGTGCAAATGGTTTTGCTTTAAATATGACAATTGAATTGCAAAAAATTGTAGGAACTCATCAAGAAAATAATGTTTAAATAAGAAATAAAATGAATTATATTTTGAAGAATCATGAGGTATGTGAACTACAACGCTTCACGCCAGTAAATTTATAATGAAGCGCTTTTTGTAAAGCGTGGCACCTATATGTATTTTCGTCACTTTTTGTGGTTAGTAACGTCTTCGTGCCACCATCAATAAAGGAAAGGATATCTATCCTTTTATCGTAAAATGACTATTCGATCGAGCTTCTTGCTTTAAATTGTGAGACGGAAATGTTAGTGTCCCTGAAAAATAGAGATAGTTGAAACTGCTGTGCGTTTTAATCTTTCTCATGTTGCACTAGAATTGAACATAGGACATAAGATATGTTGTAAAGCACGATGATAAGATTGCAACAGTGAGTATTTTGAGTGAACAACACAAACATGTTTGACATGTATTGTTAATTTTTACAAGCAAGTGACCATTTCACCAATTCTTACGACTCTGCTAAAAATTTTCTCAACCTTGTAAGTTTAAAAGACACATTATTTTTTTCCCCTAAAATATTATTTATAATTTTTCTACGGGACAAAGAGCCATAGGAAGCAATTTCGTTAGAAGGGCGGGGAAGGGGGGTGGGGGGGGGGCACAAATACTATAAAACGAGAATATCTGATGCACTACTAATTTTAGCACCTTTGGCGCTAGAGCCCCTGAATGCTTAATTTTACCATGCGCTAACAGATTTCTAAATAGTTTCTTTCACATTCGCACATGTAAACCGGGACGCGTGATTACGTAATATCGAAAGGTCGTTGGATTTTATATACATACTAGCACTGTTCATGGTAGGATCGATCGAGATAGTTCTGTAAAATTAAAATTTTATCAAACTATTGATAGGTGTTACCCGATATTTATCAATATTATACTTTCATGTAAATTAGTTGAATCTGATTGCTCGAGAAACATTTGTTAAAAAAACACTATTAACCGCTGAATAATGAAGCCACGCCCTCCAGCGTGACAACAGTCAACATTGCTTGACGACGGATGGTATTCCAAAAAATAGCGACTGCGCAGAATTTATGCGCGCACGGTTCACTGTTATATGTATTTGTATATAACATTGAGTATAATATGATAAATATAGCATGTAGCCTCGGTTGACAATGGTTTTCTTTGGGTGAGAATTTTCATTGTTACACTCAACTACATGCAATATTTATATATTAGCACCTTCAATATTTGGCTTCTCGGCGTGTCAATCATCTATCGCCTCGAGGTACAATGCAATCAAGCATGGCGATTTAGCTTGCAGACAATACCTGTTTATGATTACCGTTTATCCAAGTAACTTTCTGTCGATGCATGCATTGTTTTAATCTGAATAAAATGCGTCCATTTCTTTTATTCAAAATAAAATTAAAATAAAATTTAACATTGTGCCACGCCCATGCGATTTCAACACCACGGTAATTTACTTATAAACGGGAGTGCTATTGTGCATTTTCCATGCTTCACTAACCAAAAAGTCAAATACGGACGTGGATAAAAAAACAATATCACATTTATTCATTTCCAATGCTTACCCACTTGAGTTTGCGCTAAAAAACGTATGCGCCAATTTTTCTGGTTTTACAGCATATATTTTCAGCTGGGGGCACTATCAACTAGGTATACCAAAAATTCCTTGATCCCCCCCCCCCCCACCTGGTTCCTACGGCCATACAAGCACGTATTTTTATGATCCCTCCCTGCTCAAAGGCCGTAAGTGCCGAGCATAGGCCTAAATTTGCAGCACTTCATTGGCAATGGTGACGTCTCCATATCAGTGAAATATTCTGGAGAGGGACGTTAAACAGTATACTATTAATCAATCAATCAAAACTTTGAACTTTTAAAACGTTATGGTGTTATAACAATTTCTTATTTTTATATTTGTTGATGGTTTAAAATTAATTTTAAAATATATATTGTGTCCATTGGTATCTTAAATCTATTGAAAATAAAAGATAACGAAAAAAGTCTGTGCTTATGCTTGAATGGCCAGGGGGCCCTGTCATGATAATGAAATATCGAGAAATCTGTAGACAAGGATGTAAGAAATGGCATATCAATTAGTATAGAAAAGGTCAGTCATTCAGCATTTGACTTAAGGTAGGATTCTTCTCACATTTCTTGTATTTTTAAAAATTAATGAAATTTTCACGGAATGAAGAGGACTATATCACTAAGTGATGGTCTCAGTGAGATTAAATTTGGCCGTTTAATATTAGAGGCAAGGTCAGGTGAAGGTCATTACCTTTTTCTTGGACATTAAGAATAAAAAAAAAATACTGTTTTCAATCATGCAATCCCTACTTGTTATTCAAAAGATTGAATGTTTTTCTTTTTGCATAAAACGATACTACCATATAGGGCCTATAAGATAGTATTAGAAAATTGACAAGGATAATTCAAATAAAATCGATATTTCCTAATCCGAATTTCCTCTACTTTTCTTAAATTTTTAGGATTTATTAGTTATTTTTATACGCTTCCTATATTTTACTTTTTCTAATTTTCATATATAGTAAAGTTGTCACATAAAGGTACAAAATGATACAAAAACTAAAAGTTTTGATCGTTTACTTAGAGAGAAATAACACTTTTTACGGATTTTTGGCTCAAATCTGTACTTAGATTTTAAGCATTTAAAAGCTAACATAGTTCTAGTATGTGTGAAAAATCTTATTTATTTGATATATTTTGAAACTTTAGTCCCTTATTAATAACTTAACTTACATTTGAAAATTTCGTCTAGTCTTTGATTGCGTTAAAATAATAACTAAATTCAATGTTCTATAATAATTTTGAGAAGCAGAAAAGAAGATATTTTCATACGCCATCATTCCGCCAATAATATCGTCCCTGCTAGTTTTTAAACGCAGTCTATCATTTCATTTTAAAGTTGTATAATTGTGATGAGGGAAGAAAAATATGGTCTTTCAAATCTCTTACATCTAAACATATAAGACATATCAACAAATGTACTTTGATTATTCCATCTAGTCAGAAATCAGAGAAGAATCATACCTTAAGGACGTTCGATCCTGATATTTTGAGCGTATTTTGGTCAGGTCCTTTATTTATAAAATTCTTAAGTTGTAACATTGAATACGAGTTCTACAGTGCAAATTAAACTACATTCAATGAAAAACCCGCGATTATAAAATTCCATTCAATTAGAATTAAGCTAGGGACTATATTTTGTGGCGGAAGGTTTTTTAGACGAAAATGATGTTTTTTTCCATTTTGAACTATAACAGCACTATTAATTTTAGATTCATATTTTTCCATCCTGGTTGCACACAAAGCTGTTTTTTGCAGTGAAATGTGTTATGCTCGTTCTGAAATATCTATTAAATTATTTCTTATGAATTCTATCAACAAACTGTGACTAATATAGTAAATATTTTCTGAAAATCCGTGAAAAAATTGACCCAGTTTTAACGTAACATTGACACTTTTATAGTAATATCTAAAACTTTACATCATATACACCTAATTTTGATGTTCTTTTCTAAATATTCAAGATAAATTTGACCTATTTGCTTAAAATCAGGAAAAGTTTAAGACTTTAAAATAATTTTCTTACTTTTTAAATTTTCAATGCCAGAAAAACCCTTTTTTTATTAGTGCAGAAAGTCAAATAATTGATTATGCGAAGCAATTTGAAACTTTTTCTTAGTCCCAATTTTCAAGTGTCTTTTTTAAACAAACTTAGAGTTCATATTGTTTCATGATTTAATTGGATAAAAATATTGGAGGGAAAACGTCAAAAATTTAATTTTTAATTAAGACACAAATTTCAGTGCAAAAAGGTCATATTAAATGTACTGTAGCTCCGAAAGAAGCTTATTGACCCCCATTATTTGATCTGAATTTTAATTAAGCTATGAATGTAGAAACTAAAGATATACTTGGCCAAAAAAGTTTAAGACTTTAAATATCAGGATCGAAGGTCGTTAAGACGATCTTTAAAATAATTTCTGTACTATCTCTTAACTCAGGGTAAAATCATTGAGTTGATAGGTAGTTCGGAAAATCTTTTTTCCAGACAAGCTTAACATATTTGTTGACTGAATAAGGTGTATAAAGAGAAAAAAATTATAGTGTTCTGGCATGAAAAGAATTTTGAGTCGGGACATTTTAGACAGTCGGTCTAGATAGGGCATCAGGACAAGTTTTTAAGGTGGCCTTAAGATAACTTGTCTATCAGGAGCTTGCTTCGTTTTTTAAATTGTACATACAGCATGCTCTTGTTTATTGAATCAACTGGAAGGCAAAATCCCCATATGCACGTGAAAAGAGTGCACGTATGGTGGTATATTAATGGTGGTATGTAATAAAAAAGAAAACAAAAATAAGTGTTAGAGTATTATAATTTGGTTGAAGTGCATTTAAGCTGGAGATTTCAAGAATACATTTGAGAATTATTAAACTGTTCTAGTCTAATCTTCCATGTAACTTATCTACATTGCTATAATTCCTAAACTGATAAGTCATTCCAAAGACTAATCATTATATTTTTTGTGTTTCCGATTCATTCGACAGAAATGTTTGGTATTTTACAAAACTCAACTCTCTCATAATTTTCATTTTAGTAGGATGTTTTAGAATTCAAAGGAAGTGTTGGAATATCAGTGTCTGTTTGTTATTTAAAATCTGAAGGTAATTCTTATTTAAAAAACCCATCTTATTAATGTCATACCATGTCCATAAGAATGCACATTCATTTCAAGATTGATATAGATAGATTTAATTAACAAGCCATGCATTATTTTTACAAATATATAT